GATGACGGCAAAATAACATTAGATGCTGCAGTCCGCGGAAAGAGCTTGCGGAACGGGGTGCGGCTATCGGGACTAAAATGACATCTGATGCGGCAAAAATAACATTAGATGCTGCAGTCCGTGGGAAAGAGCTTGCGGAACGAGGTGCGGCTATCGGCACAAAAATGACATATGATGTCACTAACCGTGGTAAGGAAATTGCGGAACTTGGTGTAGAGATCGGTGCAAAAGTGACGCAAGATGCTGCCTTCAAAGGATTACAAATTGCAGAAGGAACTATTCAAGCCGCTTCTAAAGGTATCGTACTACATTTCTTCACATCCAAAATACAAACTTCAATTACTGTATCCTTCAAGAACTTCTGGACATGTAAATATATTAACAAGGCTCGCACAGATGTGAAATTAAGGAACGGAAATGGTGAAAGACAGTTTGACAGCAGCGAGCACTGCTACTCTCGACCTCTCGGAAGCCGCTCTTGAAAGTGCAGTTCAAACGACTGAATTGGTAAAAAAAACATATGTCCACATCGTTTTATGATAGGAAGCGTTTATTTTTTATGAGCTCCTTCGTCCTATTCATACGAAAAATCTTTTTTAGCACAGCACTTCCGCACATCTCACTTTCATCATCTCTAGAAAAATAACCAGACACAGACATTGGTAGAGTTTTCAGTTCAATCAACTACGGTTGATTTCGATAAACTAGCACAAGGCATGCTGAGAGTATAACTCTGAGCTTATTATAATTTTGATCTCCGCGATATCTTGAACTTTCCATGAGAAACAAAAATTTCTCGGATCCGCAATACCCTCGACTTTGGATTCAGAACATCTGAAAATCCGTGGGAGTTAGTTTCTGCAAGTAATGCAATTCATTTATTTATGTGATAGTGAGATGAATGCATCAGGAATGTTTCCATATTATACTAATGCTTTGTTTAATGCAATTGTAAGTTCCGATAAGTTCTTTCTTTTTTTAAAAAAAAAAGTCTAAAATGACTCATAATTGCGTCCGTCAAAGCACTAAAGTATGAAAATACGATCACCAAAGTTTTTCTAAACCTATTATGTCAGAAACGAATGAGCAAGAGCAAGATAGAGAAGTTCATGCTTGTTAGCACGTTAATTTAATCTGATTACACGCTGCTAGAAAACGTAACTAAGCTCGATTCGTTCAACCACTTTTCGCTTTCTCATGGAGGGCGTCCTTTCAAACTTTTCTGTAAACTTTAAAGGAAGTAGTTATCCTTCCCTAGGTTATCTTTCTCTATAAACAATGAATGATTTCACACACGCAATACACGAATAAACATAGACAGGTAAGTTAACTGCAAGGTAGAAAAAAATAATTTTGTTACATTCCTGATTCGTCTGATTTGAATATAACTAAGTCATCGTTTGCACTGTATAAAACTGGACGAATAATATTGTTCAGGTCTTTCAACTTCATTGAAAAATTGGAAAACCTCTTTTTAGATTGGCAGAAAAGTACAAAGTTTTACCAATGCGATGAATCAAGCTAGATCGGGTAAACTTTCACAGTTTCTTATTGCTTATCATCACGAATTGATCAAAGATGACCAGAAATGTTCGCCCCCCAATTAGTATATTTCTTTCGAAATTTCTACCATATAATCAATCTAAATTAAATGCAAAATCAGCTCTTAATGAATATGAAACAGCTACACAGAATTTCATATTTTAGAAATTCGCAAATCTAATGAATGGCTTTTGTCATTTTTTCAACCATCCAAAACGTCTGAAACATTAGGTAAGTTTCAGCGGACAGGTTGTCATCATAGAGGTTTCATTTGATATTTTCCTGTAATTATTCAAACTCATCCTCGCTATCAAAACTATCTGAAATCATCGGTATACTATAAGGTGCATTGGTCTTTCTTACCTAATCTTTCTGCTCATAAACTATATTAAGTTGAAAAATTGAGTGGAAGAAACAAGGGTTATTGAGGGAAGAGGTACCGAATGAAGCACAATGAAAAGTCAAAAGAAGCTTATTGAATAGAGTAAATCTTATAGTTATGTTACTTTCAAAGAAGTTTTTGGAACAAAATATCTAATTTCTTATTATTTCTATAATATACCGTGTTTTAGGGCACAATTAAAACTTCGCTTGTTGGTAACCCTTCAAGATGATTCTTACTTCACTGGCAGTGTAAATTACAGGCACCTCAGAAATAGAAGACAGTGACAGTGACTCAAGCGATGAAGACAGTGATAAGGATGGAACAAGTTTATCTGCAAATGAGAAAACTGGAGTGGTGAATCAGTAATGATAAAATTAACAAACATGTTTTCTCTTCATAGATGTATGCGGTTGTTTGCAATAATAAATAATTTATTAATTCTTGTCACTTTCCATCTCAATAAGTAGTCATTGTGTTCATTCTTGATAACATGGAGAATATTCAGAACGTGTCTTAACTGGGGTCGCATCAAGAATTTCGATAGCTACTCAACTCAATACTCAATACCTCGCATATAGGATTAACGTCATTTTTAGTTATTATTCTACTGTTTCCAAATGTCCAGATTTTGTGGACAGAAAATTAGATAATTCTCAAACAAACTGACGAACCCTCTAGAAAGCAGCAAAGGACAAGTGCAGATGAAATGCTGGTTGGTAGCGTGCATAGAAGCAAAACACTTGGTTGGTACAGTGTCATTGCATTCCAGCCGTCGCTCGTTAACCAGGGACGTGTTTTTTGAGACGTGTGAAAAAGAGCGTGGCTCGGCTTTTCGTGGTGTGTTTGGTGTTTGTATGGTTTGTAGTAGAGAGTCTGTGTGGAAACATTAACATAGGGACAGGAATAGATGGACTTGTTTTGCGGGGCACTTCTAAAGTTCTGTCGGAATTGATGGGTGATATTTGTATACTATTAAAGAAAGAGGACAGCTAAATGTGGAGTAAGTTAATTTGTAGATTTGTAGGGATGCGAGTTTATGTTTATTATCCATTAGCCCAATGTTCAGTGATCATTTAGGCCTTCCCTTTGAGCTTTTTTCTTTTAATTATTATTGTTTTACATTGCCAAGCACATTTTCACGTGGTACTCTTTTGCTTTCATTCAGATTTTAATCCTAAGAACTGCTTTAGTGGATTAAGGATTATAATCAAGAGAAGTGATGGCTGTACGGTTATTTGGTCGTGCTCGTTTCGTAGACCTAGAAGAAGATGGTACTGCCGTAACAAGCCGTCAAAATACATCCTCTGTTGCGGTTGGCATCACAGCTGACAATTATTCTGTTTGTATTATTGGTAATTTTTTTTACTAATCAATTTTTTCACTTAGAGGAGCAGAACAGAACGATGCAAATAGCTGGCAATGTTCAAAATTTTGAAATTTGCGTGAGTTGGATTTCAGATGAGGACGAGGTTGAGTTATGGAGGTGGCCTATTCCGATGCTAAATGTTTTTCGATTAGGCGCCATGATGTTAGGTTTCCTGGACCGAGAAAATGATATGAAAATTGGAAGTACAAAGATTTTATATTTTAGAAATGCCAAAGGTATGTTTATCTTCACTACAGCTAAGTCATCTGCTATAATGAAAACCGTTTGTTGCACAGTTTGCAGATAAGCTTACTGCCCATCTCATATTAGTTCTTAATTTACAGTTCTAGTTGTGCTGACGATCACGTCCGTGCTGGGGTCTATAATTTCGCGTTCTTTTTTTCCTTTTTTTTTTAAGCAGATTTATAAATTAATCAACCATGAAAACTAGTCTTAAGCGAGATTCCGCACTAATACTACTATTAGAAAATTCCAGAAGTATCCGAATTTTTGACGGCTTTTAAAATGTGCCAGTCTCTGAAACCTTCTCGATTATCATCACCGATAAACGATGCTGAAAAAGTATCAGTATTTGATGCCCGAACGGAACATGCATCGGCTACGCAATACTTCCAATTCTATGGGTACTTTTTTTTGAATTTAAAGCGATGTATTTCACTTTTAATTGCAAAAAGTTGAAATTACTTTTTTTCATTAGTGCGCTTTAAGATTTGAAATATCATTATAATGGTAAGACTGCAACATTTCAATTTCTGCTGAGGACAATGAAAATATAAGAGAAGTTAGGGAGTTATTAAGAGGTGGATTTTTGGTTTGTAGAATTAAAAAAAGCACGTACTTTGCAGATATTTGTCACAGCAACAGAATATGATGCAAGATTATGTACGGACATCAACATATCAACGAGCTATTCATATAAATGCAAAAGATTTCCTTGATAAGGTTAATGAAAACTTCGTAAATTTTTTTAATCATCCGTAAATAGATAATGATTAGTCTATGATTTCATTTTGTACAGCAAATTTTTTGAAGGTCGTATTAGATGTTGGAGCAGGAAGTGGCATTCTTTCATTTTTTGCAATACAGTCTGGAGCTCGTCATGTCTATGCTGTGGAAGCAAGTTCGATGGCAATACATTGTGAAGTTAGTTTCCCTGTACATTTATGTTTCATATGTGTGTATAATTAGTAATAAGTAAATTAAGGTATTAGGAACGAGGAAATGATGTATTTCTTCGATCTAAAGAACTTGTAAATTTTTAAGGAACTTGTTCGACGTAATAACTTACTCGACAAGATAACAATCATTGCTGGTCGAGTAGAAGATATCACGTTACCGGAACCTGTAGATATCATTATATCAGAACCAATGGGATACATGCTTGTAAACGAACGAATGCTTGAAAGTTATATACATGCAAGAAAATTCCTTAAACCAGGAGGTGCATTTTAAATATTCCTATGCAGTACATTTTCTTTTTTACGTGCTGTGCAGAATGATAACTACTCATAGAACATTCAAGTACTTTAATACATTGTACCGTTCACAAAACTGCAAACCTTAGCCACGCTGCTTTTTTTTCACCATAAAGAGTTTTATTGAAGCAGTTGTTACCATCTTAGTCTCAGTCGATTCATACTACGTAATCAAGAATGAATCCCAGGAGGAAGCTCATATTGGAAGCTATCGAACCACTTTGTTTATTCCACTTGTTATGTAATAGTTCAATTTGATATCTAACATCAGCTGATCAATAATCAGTATATCGCAGTGTTTTCTTTTGTTTATGGTTCATGTACTTTTTAATGGCAAGAAATTGTCGTAGCTGTGCTTTGTTCCTTTCCTTCTTGTTGTAAGCATTGAAGTGACTTCCCAAGAAAGACTTTATTTGCATTAGTCGTAATGTGCACCCATTTTTCCTTCCGGTTGTCTTTACTATGCTTATTTGATAGGCAGAATGTTTCCGTCCCGAGGAGAATTACACATTGCTTTATTCAACGACGAAGCCCTTTACATCGAACAAACATCAAAAGCAAATTTTTGGTGTCAAGAAAGTTTCCATGGTGTCAATTTATCCGGTCTGCGACCTCAGGCACTTGCTGAAATATTTAAGCAACCAATTGTGGTAGGTGACCAAAGTTCTTGTCTGAATGTCGTGGGATGGTTCACTATATTTCATTTCTAAGGAAATACTGCATATTTTATCTGAAGGTTTCTTCTTCCTAGAAGAATATCGAACTGGTGGTTGTTTGCTTCTTTTCTAACTTTCTATCTTCCTTGGTTATTTCCTTTTTTGTTGGAATTGATCTTTTCAGGATACGTGGCACGTGAACTGTCTAATGTCGGGAAGTGTGAAGTGGACCATAGATTTCGAAAAGGATCCCGAGTCATGGCTTCATAAAATCCATGTGCCGTTTGAATTCCAAGTCACGAAAGCTGGGCATGTTCACGGGATTGCATCTTGGTTTGATGTCGCTTTTATTGGTTCGACGTGAGTTTTTCATGTCATTGATTAAATCAACAGTCAAAACTTAATGTTATTCGGAACTTCACTACATTTTCTCGCTTTGTCTTCTGTTGTTCTGTCGTACACTAAATTCCACCTAACAAATCAGTGTGGTTTTAAAGCCTTAGTTTTTATAAGTTTCAATTCAGTAAAAATGAGCACATGCAAAGAAATAAATATTTTCCATTCATATTTTAAAGCACTGCTTTTAGGGAAACAGTATGGTTGTCTACTGCACCCACAGAACCATTAACGCATTGGTATCAGGTTCGATGTCTTTTTGACAGACCTTTGATGGTTTATGGTGGCCAGATTGTTCGAGGTGCTATCAGAATGCTTGCTAACGAGAGGTGATCGTGTTTTGAAAATTTGTAGTAAACTATTTATTGCTGCAACCACTCATTTATAATGTCAGTTTACTTTTTTTTACAGTAGAGGAAATATTTCATGAAAAAGTGGAATTGGATGAAGTATGAGATTATGAATTGAATACGATCAAAGAAATAAATCAAATATAAAATAAAATTGGGTTAAAGCTTTTATATTATGAAAATTGTACTCTTCAACCGTATATTTCCTGATATTTTAACTGACAGTGGCACATTTTCCAGGCAGAGTTATGATGTAGAAATATGGGCAGAACTGGGACAAATTCGAGTTAGCAACACGTTGGATTTGAAAAATCCACTGTTTCGATATACGGGCACAGCAGTCCTTCCTCCTGCTGGTTGCGCTAATGAATCTCCATCTGACGCACTGTTGCAAAATGCTGGTGAGAAATTCTAGACCATTAGAGCATGTCAACTTTTCATTCCTTTCTTGGGAACCAGTCTTTTCTTTTTTTTGTTTGTTTGCAGTGTTTACAGTAGTTCCTGTGGAAAGTTCAAGTTTTTCTTTATATACATAAAATGTACTTCCGTATGTTTAAGCATATTTCGTAGTAGGTAGCACTCAGGCATTGTGAAGAGCTTAGGTAATGCTTTCTCTTAAGAAATAGATGACACTGGAATTTTAATTTTTAAAAATATTCGTCTTGAAACTTGTCATTTTCTTCGAAGGAATATTTTGGGTGGAAATTTTTGAGTTCATTATCGGAAATGTTGAGGCCACGCCCTGAATTTGTGCAGATTATAGTATCTTGAAAATTTTTTGCTGTGAAGAAATCAATCATGTGTTCAGTTTAGGGTTGCTTTCGAATTTAACGACAGGTCAGATGGATTATACGGTGCACAACATGATCAATGGTTTTGCTGGTGGTTACTGCAGCACCCATACAAATGCAAACAATCCTGGAGCATCTGCTGCTGAACCACCTATAGCTATTGCTGCGCAGATGGTTCATACACAAGATGTCAACCGTGATATTTTTCGGATACGTAAGTTTGAATACATAGCCATGAAAGTGGTCTGTGATTCACCAAAGGTACAGATGAATCACTGATCAATTCCATTGGATTTACTTTTACTGATACAGTTCGCATACAAAACAGTTTTTAAAACAATACTTTTTTTCAGTCACTCAATCACATTCTCAAATAATGCAAGGTCAAAATGTTATGCAAGCAGGGCAGTAATTTGTCAACAATTTTTGGCGCGTTTCTTCCTTCTTTCAATTGATACTTTTCGATTTTTACGCTGGTTATTTGATTATTCCTTTATTTTCGCTCCATTGCTTGTTCGTTGAATTAGGACAGTTGTACATTTTTCGAGAATATGATCATGCTGAGAAAATAGGTTTGGAATTTCGAAAAGTTTTAGCAGTTGTTACTCGTATATCCATAAATTTTTTCTTAAGCATGCTTAAAGTTGCACTCAATTGAGACGATAACAGTGAGAGGTTCTTTTTTATGTTTGGTCCAGTTTTAAAGTAGAGGTAGATTGCTATGAATGTTAAGCATAAATTTTTATTGGGTGGTCATAGCACCAAAGATGAAAATATATACGTTGTGTAGTCATTGTGCATTAAATTAGTATAAAACTTTTATAAGCATTCTATCGTTTAGCTTTTCAAGATTTTCACATATTTAAATATTGTTTAATAATAAGCTTAAGTAGAATTAATATGTGCAGCGGATAACTAGCAAAGATATTCTTAGAATGAATTTAATGTCGAAGTTCTATTTGTTGAATCCTTGTCTTTGTCCTTATTTTTATCCACCTAATTTAATAAGTGGCCAGTTCCGGAACGGTGACTGTTTCTTATGAAGTTCTGTTTATGATATTTGTTATTCTATTACTTTTATAATCTCTTGCGCGTTTTTTATGATATGCAGAACTGCCTTACTGAGTGATATTAATTATCACATACAAATGCGATCAAAGGACCATGACTGAAACAGCTTTTTGTTTTCCAATGAATTTTACATGCAGCGCTCCGTTATCTCGATAATTTCTAGTTGGTTTGTTCTCTTATAATGCGTATGCAATCGTAATAAAGAAACAAGTGGTCGTACTTTTACGGGGTTTCGGTTTGACAGCTAAAATGCTTGCTTTCGCTTATACCTTCTTTATTGAAGTGAATGTTTGAATTTGTGAATGTTTCTTTGGATATAGTATCTGTTGAATGCGGTATTTAAGAACCAAACACCTTTGGAACTTATTTAATAAAGTCCGTGGAAGTGTTAAGGAACAAAAATTTAATTTGAATAATAAGTGATCACTGATCGAAGGGATTCGCGCTGTGAAACAGTCCGGAGCTAGCCCTTGTTTTCATTGGATGACATCGCAGAAAGCTGAAGATACCGACAATTTTTATTATTTCGCGTACGGTAGCAACTTACTGGATGAACGGATACACTTACAAGTAGGTCATAATTTTTTTGTGAACTCTTTTACATACTATTTTCTAAATTTGATAACAATAAGTTTTCTTAAAAATAATACGTGAAATTCATGATACACCTTGCAAGACGTGTGATTTTTATTTTCCTGACTAATTTGATGGGAGAATGAAGCTAATTTATCTATCAAAGATAATTTTCTTTGTCTGTAGATGGTATTACATTAGACTGACTTTCACATCGCTTTTCTAGATCTTTGTGTCTGCTTATATAATGAATTTATTACCTTTTTATTACACAGATCACATTTTTTTATTACACAGGTCACAGATTTTTTTATTAAATATTTTATTACACAGATCAAATGTGCCAAGTATGTTAGCACAGGCTTACTGTCTAATTATCGGTTGGAGTTTTACGATCATGGGCTGAAATGGATGGGAGCTATAGCATCAGTGGAGCTATCAAAAGGTGATGAAGTTTGGGGATGCGTGTGGCATATACCTTGGTCGTTTTCTGATGAGTTAGACATGCAAGAAAACGGCTATCATCGACTTGATGGTATATCTATACTCATGTGTTAGGATTTAAATATATCCAATTTCGGATATGATTGTATATTAGAAGCTTAAAATAATCAAAGTCAAAGTATGCAAATTTTTTCTACATTTTTGAGATTGACTGCTAGTCATTGTTTTCGTGAGTCCTACCATGTTGACGCGTGAACCAACCAGTGTACTATATTCACTGGATTACAAATGTACCTAAACCGTAGTGTAATTCCACATTTTGAAGTACAGTAGTGCTCTTACATCAGTCGTTTTTCGATTTTGTTGGGAAGCATTCAGCAAATGCGTCATTTATTTTACACTTTTCAAGTCAAGAACTGAGAACTGCAAAGATTAATGAAATTAATTTTTTAAGTGTACGTTAAATTTGGAAATTCGACAACAATGTGTCGTACTTATCAGTATTCTAATCCCAATCGTCAACGAAAACTTCCATCACCGCATTATAAATTGGTTATCGTTTCTGGTGCAATCGAACATTCTTTACCTTTAGACTATATCGAAAAGTTGAAAGCAATTGAAGATAATGGTTACAAAGGTCCAGTAGTATTTGATTTAATCGTTCTGAAATATCTTAATTCCAAAACTTATAATTAAAAGTTGTATTACTTTGACTTAGATGGGTTTCTCCTGGTGTTTTAGAAGTTTGTCCAGGTGTTTTGGAAGTTTGTTTCTCCTGGAAGTTTGTTTCTCCAGGAAGTTGTTTCTCTTCGGAAGTTTGTTTGATATCGATGCTTTGTAAATACAAATGATAATGTTTTGTATGTTGCTAGTTTCAAAAAATGCAACAAGTGCAATTGTTATACCTTGGGCGCGCATGAAAGCACGATATGAACTGTCAAGCACTGTGTTTAATTCACTCCCAGTCACTGTTTGATTCACTCGTCATTGAATGCGAATATCGAATATCATGTGGTTTGTTTATCCTTACCACGCTGGAATAAAGAAAGGTTGCTATCTGGTCCTCGTAATACCTGTGAGTCATTTTATTCCATTGTTTAAGTTCTCTGTTGAGTGATATCTTTTGCTACTTTCCTTCTCTCATAGGTGAGCTTTTTAGTGTTAGATAAACGCTCCTACCGTGTCTAACAAATGTTTTAAACTAAAATTGTCAGTAAATAAATGTCTCAACTAGAAAAAGGATGGGGAATGCAGGAGTTGAGTGAGCTTTACAATTCAACATGGTAAGTTTCGACAATTCATTTTTCGAAACAAAAACTTGGTATAATTCTCTTGTTGTGTCTTTATTTCCCAGTCGCTGTATTTCAAACTCAGAATGCTGTAGTCCCATATTTCAGCGAATGGAACCAATTTAATTGCTGTGGCTATTTGGTGCGGTTTTCCTTTTTAAGTCAATAATTTACATGTAATTGTGGTTCGTCGCAAAAAAAAGGACTTAGCTGCATCAAAGCATGTGAAACACACCTGAGGCAGTTCTACATGAACAGCGAGTTAGGATCTGTAAATAGCGTAAATTTTTATAAGATTTGGAAGAAAATCTTCAGACATCTAAGTTTAGACACTTAAAGAGCATTGAAGGCATTGAAAAATCAATGCCATTGGCCACATTCGGGATGGCAGTGATATTTGATTTCACTTTTCTATAACCTTAATGTAGTTATTCATTATTGTTATTGTAAGGTTTAGCCCTTGTAGTTTCGTAATTTCCAAGTAAGTTGTACTAGCTCCGTCGTTGCGATTGGTACGTTTTTATTATGCATTATTATGTATTATGCATTCATATTTTCTATACCATTTAAATATCGCCGTTCCAGTCGTTTCAGTTTATGAACACGTGTGTTCGTGTGTTCATAAGCTGAAAGCACGGTATGTTGCATTGATTGAATAGGTGTTTCATTCTTGGTCCATCGTTATTCAAGCAGTCTCGCCACTCTACCAAGTAATAGCTTAAATTATCAAATAAGAATTATTTAGGGAGTGCTAGATTGTTATGGGAAATACTGATGATTTCGAAGTTCTTCTTTGCAAAAGTAAATTAATTTAGCATATGGTCAAGATGACGAAATTCAGTATTGTGAACTAATAGGTGCGTTTCTGTTGGCTGAGATCTATGAAAATATCATGGTTAAATCATTGTCCAAACAGTGGTCGTGATGCAGATCGTGTCAGTTTTATTAAATGGCATTAAAGAACTAGGAATTGAATTATAAGGAAGATTTAGGGAATAAACAAGAGAAAAAATAGAAGAGAAAGTATGTATATGATTAAGATGCATATACAATAAAAAAAAATGATTAATGCTAGGAAGAAAGACGCCAGGGTCCGGTTCTTGAAAAATTAATTAAGATGCGTTATTATTGTCTGTCGCAAAAAAGTATATTCAGAACAGTAGGGTAAGCAAATAGCACAAAAACTGCAGTATTACAGACTAATATCTATTGGGAAATTTGTTTTTCTGTTGAACTCGTTTCTCGGCGATACAGATTTATTCAGGAGGTAATATTGTTCTTACACAATATTACTAGTTAGTAACAAGAAAAGGGTATAAAATATGTATGTATATAACACGATAAATTGGTAAACGATGATAAATGAGTTATACAAAAAGCAAATAATATGATCAACTAACAAACTCCTTGTCGTTGCCTTGGACAGTAATTTGACTGTCGATTAGTTGATAGGTCGTTGAGTTAGGAATACGTTACGGGAAATGTATTTAGTGAATAGAAGAATATCGTAGTTTGTTGTGCAATGGTGGCGGATATGCGAAGATATCGTTGGTTGTGGTTAACCACGGAGGATAAGCGAAGAGGATGTATCATATGCTCGATTGTAAAAACTGAACTCAACTATGTCTCGAGATTTTTTCATATATATATATATATATAAGGATTAGGGAAGAGCTTTGTAAGCTCCATCGGGGCTATCATGGAGGTATTGGCTACCCTTTGGGACTGTCCATTGTGTAGGTACTGAGACGTTTTTGTTTTACGCTGTCCATTGTTAGCATATATCCTCTTCATTGCTTTAATTTTACTTATAAGATTTGCCATCCCGTTTGTTGGATATTGTGGAAATTTTGATTGAACGTAACTTTAATTTCGATAATCCGACAGAAAATTTGCATTATGATTTTCGGAGTTTTTCCACAGTACCACCTAAGGAAACAAATATCCACTATGTCGATTGAAATTCGAATGATGTGATCTGACGGTATGTTGCTTGGTCAACGAAAGTGAGAGTAGCAAAAGAGAAAATGTCTTGAGACT